TTATCCGGTTTGTTTGTTCGTTCTTTGTCATCATTTTCTGAGAGTTTTTTAAATGTAAGTTTAAGTTAAAGATGTGTTTACTTATGTTGTCAAAGTTATTTTTAATCTCATCATGATTTGGAACCATTGTCATTTGAATCTGTCGCAGCATTCCATACATTTCCTCCGGGAAAATATTTGTCTTTTCTTGAAGTATTGCTCCTGCAGATCTTTGATGTTCCAGGCTAGGGCCTTCAGAAGGAGATATTAGGTGTGGTTTCCTGCCACTTTTTGATAGGTATGTAACATCCATTTTGTTTCCCCTCTCCAGATAGTCTTTCACTGGTACCATAGTCTCTGTAATTAGTCTTGTTAAACCAGCCAATCTTAAAGTCCAAACAACCAAATCTTATATAGTTCTTGTCTTTGTATATGGTTTTTATAATCCAATATGTTTCCAATTATGAAAGCACCATTAAAAGCGGTATTTTATAATAGTTCTTCTATTCAGGGGTCTTGCAATTATCAGCCAGTCAGATTTAGAGTCCAGGATGTTTAACCACCTAGGAGCTTTCCAATAAATCCTTCCCTAGAAGATTAGCCAAAAGTCAAGGTTTTTCTTTCTCTGCAAACAATTCTTGAACTTAGAAATCACAGCTCAGTAAGTATTTATAATTCCAGAAGGTCAGCAGTTTTTAAAACAAATATAGTTCTCACTCTATAGTAGGTAGCCCAATGTGTTTGCTTTCCTCTGTTCCCAGCTGTTCTCTATTTGGCAAGAAGCCACTGAAGTTCAAAGGAACAAGTTGTTCTTTATTTCTGGGCATCTTGCCAATTTCTGAGTCAATGCAGCTGTTGTTCTATGCTCTAATCCTCCACTAGATGTCAGTAGCCATTCATTTTCCAACTTTTAAAGCAAAAAGTTATTTTCTTGCAATTTCATAATACTCTTTCAGATGTAAAATCTTAATAGTCTTCGTGATTTTCAAATTTATTCAGACTGTAGTATTATTAAGTTCATTTCACTATATTTCTGTCCTCCATAAAAATTAAGTTGCCACTTCCGTCTATGGAAGGGTGGAGGTGTAGTCCCCCCCTTCTCACTTTCGGAGGATTTTTTGCTTCTTGGGGATCTTTTCCAGGAAATCAGTTACAAAATAGAAGAGAGAAGATCGATATTCTCACCACTTCAAAACATGCTGTTCCTGGTTGTTCTAGTTAGTGCTTTTGTACTTCGGCTGCTGGTAGCTTGGGCTAGTCACTAGTATACAGCTAGACTTTCTCTTGTTGGGTTGGAGGGCTTCCCCCGGATCAAACGGATCATGATCCACAGGAGGGCCCTCCTTCTTTGTCACCTTTCTGGGGCAACTTTAGACCCATTTAGGGTCCCCTGGCAGGGTGAAACCAGCCGTGGTGTGTGGAGCTCTGCAATCCCTCCGCCGCGCTCTGTGGCTCAAAACCGGAAGTCTCCTATTTTGTCACATTTTGAGTTGGAACATGAAAGCCACAATTTATGTTCAAGTGAAGACATTTAATCCTTTTGTAAAATACTGTATTCTGGAAAATGGAATGAGATTGAGCCATGCCAAGTAATTGTCAGATTTTCTCAGGTAAAAAAATCATGCACATTTGTTGTAATAATCTAGAGAAAACCTCAAAAGCCAAGAACATGAAAAGGTCCTCAAGCTCATTAAAAAGTTGAAAGATCAAATTTGGAATACACAAAAGCATTTTAGCTACTGTTTGCATCTCTCAGGAAAGTTTTCTAGGCCAGCCCATGTCATGCTTGTGGTAATTCTACAACTGCTGAATAAGTATTAAGGCTTTGCAGGACATCGTTTGAATTGATCACAAGACTGGTGAACTAATTATGAGACTCATGAAGATGCCACCAAGTGCCTTGAGTTCTCAGTAAGCAAAACTGAGTTGTGCAAGCAAAATGATGCCACATGCAAGGAATAACTCCAGGTGCTAATAAATATATCCTGCTCTGTGAGTGAATCCTGTCAGGTGGTCATATTATCATTTCAAGAAATGCTAGAGAAGGGAAAATGTTTCTTTGCAAAAATCCCTGCTGGACTTTTTAAAGGTTAAACAAAGCTGGAGAAGAAGCCGCAGTCACCTCATGCATTTAGGAGGAGATTTGTAATCTCCCAGCTGCTTTGCAGATGCTTAAATTTTAATGTGATTGTTTTAAGGAAAAGCAAATAATAACTAGACTTTGCTGGCAGCTACTGCTATGGATTGTTTATTGCAAGAGTTCCAGATTTTCTCCCAAATAAAATGGGGCCCAATTCTTTTACTGATGGCACAATGACACTGATCGTATTCACACACACACACCACACAAATCCCTCTTCAAAAGCTTCAAAAGCACCATGTAAGGTCTTATAAATAGCCATTAAAAGAAAAATAAATTAGTTGTATGAGAGAGGTATCTCAAATGCATCTTCTGTTAGGCCACATTAATTTTTTTCTGTTTATTTTTGTTGTATTTCTTCTATATTTTTCTCTAGTTATCCTTTAGTTTGGTTGTTTTGGGGGGTTCCTCTCCTGTTTAAACTTTCCTTTTCTCTCTCTCTCTCTCTCTCTCTCTCTCTCTCTCTCTCTCTCTCTCTCTCTCTCTCTCTCTCTCTCTCTCTCTCTCTCTCTCTCTCACTCACACAGAGAGACACAAACACACACACACACACACAGAGAGAGAGAGAGAGAGAGAGAGAGAGAGAGAGAGAGAGACACGTCTGTGTGTACAAGTATACAATAGGAACATGTTTGTATGTATATGTTTGTGTGTCTGTGTATATATACACACGCACACATCCAAACACATGCACAAATATGCCTCCAAGGAAGTCATGGAAAAAAGGCACAACTGCCTTAATAATTTGAGAAGAGATGGTTTATGTGCACTCCCTTTTAATGATTTGCATAGTCTTATTAATATTGCCCACATAAAAATGTTTTACTTGACATAAGTTATTACTGAGCATTGTTATTGTTTAGGTGTTTCAAAATAATAAAAAATTAAATTGAAAAGAGTGTGATTGGCTGATTTGAAAAAAAAAGATTGGAATAATGTAGTATTGCTTAGTGTGTTTGTTTCAGAAAAATATTAGTATCAATTAGAACATTTATAATGGCCTCACAGGAAATTTGCCAAGAACATTAGAAGGATTATAATTGCACCTTGGATTTAGTAGAATTTAAATCATTAACTACCAGCATATTTAAAGGTCTGATTCCTCATTTTCTGGTGCAGATATATTTTAAACATAACAGTATAAAGAGTATGCTTTAAGAAGAGATCCAAACAATTTTACAGGAATTTTAACTGTACTGTATATATAAAACACTGTGTATAACTATGTGGGAATGGAAAGATCCATTGAAATCAACAAAAGTATCTCTGGTGGCTAGCAGAGGAGCAAAAAAAGTAGAAAAAGGAGAGTTTGAATAAATACATTGTTTATAAATATGGTCAGTTGTACTATTAAAATTAATAAGTTTGTACCCTAATTACATTTGCAGTTTTCTTTCACATGCAATATTTCTGCATATAACTTTACAAATTCATCCAAAGTTTTAAACATAGATCTCTGGCATACCTTTTTCTACAATTACCCAAATGTCTTTCTTTCTAACATAGAATAAGAGCCCAATGCCTGCTTTTCTTTAACATACTGTATGTTTTCCTGATCCAAATGTATTAATGCAAGTTGCCCCAATATGTTTATATAAAAATATATACGTTTAATTTTTTTTTTCATATTCAACATTTAAAAATCATGCATTCTTTTCTATGCACATTGCCCAAATAATATTTTTAAGAGGGTTTTGACACTAACAGACTTTATTCAGATCTCTTGTGTACGCTATTGTAAAGTCTATTTTGGTAGAGCTTGTTAATATGTTCCTCTAGAAATAATTTAGGGAGAGGAGGTGTTGCACATCTTTAGTTAAAACAATGTTGAATATTGGAGAAGGAAAGCAAAGACAAGCAAACTAGGGTTATGCTGGCCCCGCAGGAAATGATGCCACTTCGGTAGCCTTGCATCTTTATTGTAACCAGGATTTTAGAAACAAAGCAAACATATTGGCAGAAGTATGTTTGACTGTTTCACATTTTGCTATTGATGGACCCAATAAAATACTTTTATCTTGCTCTACAGGTTTCTGAGTTTGAATGCCTTTATCTTAAACCAGGGGTCTTCAAACTTGGCCCTTTTATGACTTGTGGACTTCAACTCCTAGAATTCCTCAGCCAGGCACACTGGCTGAGGAATTCTGGAACTGAAGTCCACAAGTCATAAAAGGGCCAAGTTTGAATATCCCTGTCTTAAACAGTAGCATCATCATAGGGAAGAATCATATTTTGGATTTTTGACCTCCCTTTTGTAATAAACTCAGTGAGCAACTTTAGATCTAATCTCCCCTCTTCTGCAGTTGTAATAGGTGGAACAGATTAACAAATTTCATTCTAAGATTCCAAGAAGCCCGACATAAATAAATCAGGTTGCATTCCTATATTATTTTCAAAACTGTTTTCATTATTATTATTAAATGCATATGCTACCCAGATGCCCACTTTGAGCCAGGGAATAAACTTACTGCTGAGCAACATGTTTGACATGGCCTTCTAACAAGTGCTTAATGTCTCAAAAACATATTTGTGCTTCCTTGCAGTTGCCCCAACAATTCAAGAAATAAAATCCAGTGGCGTCACTCTTGGAGGCACTGGATTCATAAGATGTGAAAGTGCGGGTGTTCCTTCCCCATCTTTTGAATGGTACAAAGGAGAAAGAAAGTAAGTTTGGATACTTTGCATTTTAATAAGGCGGGGGGAATCTTTATGACTTTTCTTAACGTATGTGTTGTCAAAGAAAGTGGTCAATCCAAGGTGGGATTCAGTTACATGAAGTTCACTTCTATGATCTAAATATAGTGAAAAGAGTGTTCAGTAGAGGTACCAAAATCCAGGGGGGAAAGGTTATTTTAATTTATTTTAGTTATGGGAATTATAGTCCAGTCACCTATGGACATTCTAAATTGGGGAAAACTCTGCTAGTAATAATTAATCATAGATGCTGTATACATAAAACACTTTTTTTTTCACTTGGAGCTGATGTGAATTGAAAACCTGTAGTAGCAATAGCAATAGTTGTAATTTGATTCAGTGTGTACCTGTAACTAAGCACAGCCCAGGTACAAAAGAATAATATTTATTTTTTTATTTATATTAAATTTTTATCATGTCTTATTTTTTATAAATAATTCTCCTTCTTCCTCCTATTTTTTCCCACAAGAGCAGCACTGTGGGGTAGATTGGATTGAGAAAGAATGACCAGCCAAGGTCACCCAGCCAGCTTTCCTAGCTAAGGCAGGACTAGAACTCACATCTCCTGCTTTCTAGGCCAACACATTAACCAGTACACCAAAGTGGCTCTCAATAATGTATGATATAACTCTCAAAATAATGTATAACTACAATTAGCATTAAAGCAATATGGTAATCCATAGAAAACATTTCCTTATGAAACCTTTCCTAATACAAACATGACCATAATATAATTTTATAGCTAATAATGGGAAGGAGAGGACTTTCAAGCTTTCTAAATGCTAAAAGATCATATTCCAAATGTATTTCAATTTTAATAATTTGTATTGGTTTGTCAAAATATAAAATACAAAGAAAAATTTAAAAAGTAATAGAAAACTAGAAAAAGGGAAAGGAAAAAGAAAAAAGATAGTATGAGAAAAGAAGAGAACAGAAAAAGGCACCAACTTTTGACTCTCTTTAGCACAGTAGAAGATAACATTACAATCACAGCTTTTTGCTTTTGCACAACAGTATACACAAACCATTTTTATACCAATAACCTATCTAATAAAAAAACAAAATCAAAATTTTATTTTCTTTTTCATTGCAAGCACAAAATCTGGAAGCAATTTCAAAATAAAAGCAAGATTAACTAGATTCTCATCTTTGGATAAAAAAAAAATCAGTTTGACCATCTCTGCTTTTCAGTGGGGAATAATATTCCAAATGTATTTCAAGCAAGAGTCAAATTCCCAAGTGTAGGAACTAAATGGGGACAAGTCCTCCCAAGCAAGAGAGATTATTTAATACAAGAAAAATTGAATTGACTTTGATTGTATACTTAGGACAATGCGTACAGGAGGATGAATTTTAATATAAATAGCTGGGTGTTCTTATACATACAGCTTTGGAGGTCTGCACCTGTTTGAACTTCTAACCAACCAATGTAGGGACTGGGGAAAAAAGAAGAAATAAAGGTGTATCAAGAGAGATACAGACCATATGTGGACAAAGGGCAGAGTCAGGAAAGGACACGTATAGGGCTTTTTGAACTTTACAGGGAGAAGTGAGTTTGGAAATTCTTTATTTAACATGAAAATGAATGTTTTCTATTTTTATAGGACACATTTCAACATTCATTGTAGATTCACAGTGATCCAAAAGCTGTGGTACAGAATGAGCGGAATAAAGTAGTATATATAATTCTGAACAGCAGGTAGCAGGTAAAATTAGCACTTGTTATTTCCTTAAATCAAATATTCTGACAAGTAGAACATTAAGGAGAAACATTTAACAAACCTCTTTCTACTGTTTGTCTAGTAGTTATACACCAGGATAAAAAACCCCAGGAGACCATGACTTTTAGTCCTGCCTTAGACATGAAAGCTGCCTGGATAACTTTGGGCCCATCACTTTCTCTCAGCTCAACTCACTTCACAGGCTCGTTGTTGTGGAGAAAATAGGAGAAGAAAGAAATATTAGTTATGTTCACCACCTTTAGTTTTTTATAAAAATATCAAAGGTAGCATATAAATATATAAATTAAATCTGTTTCTACATTCACCAAAGATAGTTATGAAGCACTGGATGGATTAACCTGAATTATTTATATCAGCCTTTCCCATATTGGTGCTTTTCAGAATTATTGGAATTACAACTGCTAGGATTATATCAGTCAAAAACTGGAAGGCACTTGACCTAAGAAAGTTTGCCCTATTAAAATTATAATTAAATAATTGTAGCTATTTCTGTTTGTTCTTGTTAACTGGCCCCAGAAATCTATAACAAAAGGGACGTTTTCCTTAGTATCTTTCTAATTTATTCACTGTCTACATAAATTTAACACTTTAGAAATAAAAACATGATGCAGTTCACATTCTTTTTTCAGAGGATATTTGTATTTGGTAAACAGGAACTAATAATTAAAAACTTGTGACAGAAATATTTAAATTTTAAGTTTCATCGTATAGCTGCCTGCATGTAAATAAGCCTTATTACACATAGCATGATAGTACAGGCATGTACAGAAAAAAAAATTAAAGGAGAAATATTCAACTTTGCGTGATAAACCAACAATTCATTCTCAGGATTTTGAAAAAGACTACAGTATCTATTTCTTATGTGTAATATTCTGCTCTGGATGGTTAAACTAAAATACATTTTATATGCAGAACTGTGTGGTGATTAAATAAAAAATAGAACATTAATGTAATGTACAATATTAAGTCATCAATATGCAGCTATACATTAATAATGATAGATACCGGTATATATATTTTGCTGAATGCAAAAAAGTACTTCTCTCCTAGATTTATGATGTGCTGTCTCCATATATCAAAATTAAATGGTAACTTATTTATATAAGTATGAATTCTGCTTTCAGGATGAAATATAAACAATTCTTGGAGTAACCAAGCATAGCTAAGTATTTTCACATTTAACTATATTTTTCCAAAATCTGAATCAGGTTACAAATGCCCAGTTCATAAAAGGGTTGAAGAAAAAAATAATCAATCTTGGTATCTTGGCTCAGTATGTTTGTGGTATTATTTATGCCAGAAAATCATAATTGTTATAAGATCAGCCTCTACCATTGAAGAAAAGATGTCCAGTTTGACTTCAAAAAAAGGACAGAAAAAAAATCAAATTTCCCAGCCCTATTTGGAGAGATTAGGAGGCATGTTCTAAGTTAGTTCACATAAAAGTGTATCAGTAAAAATGTGTGATTTAACTGAATAAAATCTATTTTTTCTTTCCACCAACAGTAAGTTCCATTGAATAAAATCCACTCTGAAAGAATGCAGCTATCAATAGGTAGCAGTGGATAATTTTTGCCCAATTTAACTCTTACCCCATTGTTCTAGCAATTTCTCAACTTCTGTAATACATTTTAAGAAAGAAAGGAGATGCCTGCAGAATTTACTCCTTACTCATCTCTCCAATGGAGTCTGTCACTGGATCAAAAATCAGAGAAAAAAAGTATTTTCATCCATGGGAGCCAAATTTTGCACTTAACCCAAATTGCAAGATAAAAGAAAAGAGAAAAAAAAAACCATGAGCATTCTATTATAGCTGGAAAATGAGCCATTTTTATTTAGAGAGACTTTTTCCAAAGGAAAAAAAGGGGGGGGGGGAATGTCCCACACAAGTACATAAGCATAATTTATGTTGCATTATGTTACACTAAACTTGTCATTTAAGTTCAATCTAAATTTGCTGTTAAATTTTGTGGCTGTTTTCTGTGCCTAATTCAAACAATTGTTTGATGGTTTAGTCAGCAAGAACGTTGAAGAAAATTAAAATTGAAGAGAATTTGAGAGAGGGAGCACAGACATTAAAGAAAATCTGATGCTTTATGCTTACCCACTGATATGATAGCTTTTTCAGTCCTCATTATTTTAAATAAAGTAACTGAATTGTACTTTTACTTCATAGTTGAGTAAAGAGGTAAAAAGTGACCATTTTATGGGTAATCTATGTTCTGGCTTCTTTTGCAATGATGACATTTTATACAAGAGAAAATTCTAATCTGGGTCCTTCATTTAGTAAATATCAATAAGGTTAGCTAAAGTCATAATATTTATCATGTATTATTATGCAAAACAATATATATATATATATACTCAAACCTAAGAGTTCTAATGATGCTTCCATAACCTAATCCATGTGTTATATCTGTTCTATAATTAAAATGTTCCTGTGTGCTATCTTGCTTTTATAAGTAATTTTTATTTACTATACATTTTTATATGCTATACATTTAGTTTGAAATCAGAGAATTTTGTAGAATCAAAGAACAGTTAATATGTGCAAAAGGTGATTATGATATGCAATGAAACTTAAGCAAGTTGGTGCATAATTTGTTATCTATGAGTAGTATATTTAGGTTTCTTTAGAAATTCAGCATTGTTTTGGAGTCAGAATGAAAAGTAATTTTAATATGTACATGAATCAAACAGGAGAAGTAAGTGAAGGATATGACAGGGTCTACAATAGGGATGTCAAACCGGCAGCCCATGGGCTGGATGCATCATGCCCATCCTGGCTCCACAAAGGCAAAAAGCATTGCAATACATCACAATATGTCACATGACACGATCAAGTTTGACACCTGTGGTCTATAAGGATAGGTGTCTTCCAAAGAGGACAAGGGTTTCAGCTGATATCACATATATCAACTGATACATCTAAAGTCATTAATCTCCAAATATTGCCAAATCCTAACTACAGCATCTAAATATGCCTGCTAAAGTTGCTGGGAATTGTTGTAAAATAACATTTGGAGATCTCCAATTTTCTCATATCTGAATTAAACCAAATAACAGACATTTCCAACAGTTGGAGTAGAGCAGGGGTCTTCAACTTCGCACTTTTATGACTTGTGTATTTCAACTCCCAGAATTCCTCAGCCTCAACCTGGCTGAGGAATTCTGGGAGTTGAAGTCCACAAGTCACAAAAGGGCCAAGTTTGAAGACCCCTGGAGTAAAGGATAGAGACTGATTCACAAAGCCGACATAAAGTACTTAAGTGAAGTTCAAGATCTGTGCTTGACAGATATTTTTTTTTATACCTTAGAAAAGTTTTGATCATGCAGAGAGATCCCAGTATAGGTCTTCAGCTGACTATACAGGGTAGACATAATGTACATAATAGACTTCATTTAAATAGGGCTTAATTTCCAAGCCATCAATATATCATCTGGATAAATCAACTCAATAATTTTCATTTGCTTCCTCAAAAAATAAATTCAGTAACAAAATACAATGTTATTACTCTGCCTTGCTTGAAATCCACATTAAATATTTTTGTCTTTCCAGCTACTTTGGTAGTATCCAAGACAAGGAATGCAAAAGATTCTGGAAAGTGCTAATAACTCCCAGCCCAGAGTTTCTCAATCTTGGTAACATTAAATGAAGTTCAATCTGCTGGCTGCCGAATTCTGGAAGTTGAAGTCCATATATCTTAAAGTTGCTATGTTTGAGAAACACTGTCCTAGTCTTATGGCCTGCTTTTTAAGTCATTTGCTAATCTTTATCTTACTGTGCCCTGATTCTCCTGGACTGTGAGTAATTAGTTCTTGCTGTTTATCCCTAGCATTCAATTATAGCTTGCCCTGCTCCTTCACAATTGAAAATGAAAAGAAATAAAGCTTCATTCTAAAATGAATCATGGTTTTCTTTCACTATTTGCCCGCATTGTATCATTTCATGTATACATTTATTGGGCGTCTTGTCCATTTTTTTCCTGAATCAACAAACCAATTCTGAATTTAGACTTCCTTAAATTTAAGAAACGTGTGCTTAAGGAAGGAAATGTGTTCTGTGGTCTAGTGTTATCTGCATAGATGATAGTCCTTTGCTAAATTACGGTTCATTAGAAAAATATGGCACTAGCATTTTTTTGTAAATATGGCATTAATGGTTTTCATAGTTTGTGTTTATTCCCATTTTTACTATCCTACTTTGGTATAAGTTAATATATTTCATTCATGTATAGATTAAGTCAAAAATGCAAATATATTTGCATGTTAATTCTAACAGAGTACTTTTCCTTTTCTCCTCCATTCTAGATTGATCAATGGGCAACAAGGAATTACTATAAATAGCTACAGTTCAAGATCATTTTTAAATTTCAACAATGTGACAGAAGAGCATTTTGGCAACTATACATGTGTCGCTGCCAACAAATTAGGCACAACCAATGCCAGCCTGCTTCTTAACCGTAAGTCCAGAAAAAATACGAGAAATGTTCAGGTGGTAGGGTTTTTTTTTCTTAGCTCCCCTGAAGGAAAGAAACTGTGCTTCTCTAATTCGGGTTCTCTTTAGGAATTCTGCATTATACAGATTTTTCTGAGCATTTTCATGCTTCTTTAATTAGATGTGCCCTGTGATTACATCAGACCTCAGGGTGAAATCAAATGTCTGGTTCAGACATTGCCTGATAAGATCTTTAACTGGACTACTAAGATGTAGTCCAGTAATGGGCCATTAGATGAATATCAGGGATGTATTATTTGGAATTCTTAAATGTTCTTTCATATACAGTCCATGTCATGGCATAATAATAATACATACATCAAGATATTCACAAAGGCCTTCAGCTTTTGCATGTGCTGTCGTGAGACAAGGAGGGCTTTGACTGGCACTGATTTGGATTGATTAGCAAGTATGTTGTTACACTTTGCAGCATAGTCTCATAAGTGAGGGTGGGTGGTTGTGTACACTAAAACAGTGGTGGATCTACCATAATGATGTGATTGGTCAAAAGTTTTAACAATAAAAAGTGTGATATTAATTTTGAAGTGTGAACTCTGATACTGTAGCTGCTGCCGCTTATCATGTTATACTGTACCTTATGTGTAACTCTTTTGGAATTCAGTTAGTTGACAATAAGCAATTGACTGGCACATTTCACTGAGTGTTACAATAAATAGAATCTGATTAAAAAAATATTGCCTACCATTTTTAAATTAGACTTTGATTTCTTAATTAAAATGTGCATGAATAAAATAAAGCTGGTGATACATTAGGAAGATACAACAAATAATTGAGTGGTTGGAATAGAGTAATTAGAAAAGCTGCCAATACTAACTAAGAATGCAGAGCCCCTGTTGGCCAACTATCTTTATTCCCCTGCAGTGTTACTATTGGTATATGAAGACAAAGTGATTTTATCATGATTCTGTCAGTTTCGAACGACGTCGGGACTTCGTTGAGAAAGACAATCACATCTTCTGTCGTGTAAAGTCGAAACCGTTTTAAGGATGATAGAGTCTTAGGTCGATTAATTGACGAAGATAAACACAAAGAAATTTTCTTAAACTTATGGATGTAATACTTTCTTGTTGTCTCTAATGTAGAAAAAAGTGTTTAAGACAAGATTCCTAGTAAGATAATGCAATGTCTGTGGTACTTCCAATGTTAAACAACTCAGATGATGAACTTTGTAATGGCAGAAGATAGAGTATTAACTCGTATATTTTAAAATAGCTTTCTGACATTCACAGTACAATTATGCCTGGCTTGTAAATTGAATGCTGGGACAAAGTGCTTTGAAATAATAATTATTATATTATATTATATTATATTATATTATATTATTATATTATATTATATTATATTATTATATTATTATATTATATTATATTATATTATATTATATTATATTATATTATATTATATTATATTATATTATATTATATTATATTATATTATATTATTATATTATTATATTATATTATATTATTATTATATTATTAATATAATATAATAAATATAATATAATATAATATAATATAATAATATAATATAATATAATATAATATAATATAATATAATATAATAATAATATAATATAATAATATAATATAATATAATATAATATAATATAATATAATAATATAATATAATATAATATAATATAATATAATATAATATAATATAATATAATATAATATAATATAATATAATATAATATAATATAATATAATATAATATAATATAATATAATATAATATAATATAATATAATAATCAGTAATGAAAGATTGATTGAAAAAGTAGTAAAAAATGAGCAGGTTAAAATTTTGTGGAATTTCCAAATACAACCTGATAAAGTCTTGTGGCATAATACAACAGACTTACCAGAGGACAGTAGAATAGAAAACAAAGAATTGAAAAAAATCACATGTCAAGATGTAAAAATCAAAACTGGAAGTTTATGGCATAAACCAACCATGGTGGCACTAGTGGTTACAGCAATCTGGGTGCTATACCAAAAATCTTGGAATGAACTTATAAAATCTGTAAATTGACAAAATTTCCAACTCTCAATTATAAAAGGCCTCACTGCTTACATCCTTACATATACTATTCTGATACATTGTGACAACCTAGGTTTTTAGGAAGGACTCAATGCATGTGAAGGCCAATATTGACTAAATAACTGGCAGTTGTGAATTTTATGTTGTTGTATGTGAATAATAATAATTCATAGTACGAATCTGATTTAAAAATATCTTCTTTGGATACACTTTCGATGTGACCTTCAAGCTACATCAGCTATAGAAAGACATTATTGGGATAATGTAGTTTCTAGTATATATTTATATTTATTAAATATATTTATTAAAACTAATAGGAAGTCTACTGAAAATATGTGTAGTTCTGTTTGCTTATATCACAATATATAAACAGCTATGTTTGGATATAATGTACCCATATGACCTATTAAAAACACAGATAATTTTTCAGACCAGATCGAGACTTAACTCAAGGTTACTTGTGACAATTATTTGTGACTTTACTTGATTTCTTTGAAACTGGAAATTCCGCTAACTAGAAAAAAAATAGTGCTATTACACAGAGAATTGCATAGCAGGACAAAGGTAAGAGCTTTGGTTTAAACTCTGACAAAACACAAAAGTTTTACTGATAACACAGCATATTATTAGACTGTAGGTAAGTAGAGAACGTTTTTATTAATTTGTTTTTTTTAAAAAGACCTCTGTAATTACAGGTTTTTCCATTTTCTGAAATTGGTGTTCCGATCAAGAATACATAAAAATAGTATGTTAACAAATCAACATTTTAATGAACAATGAAGTAAGGAGGAATAGATTTTAGTATCAGATATTTCTTCTGACAACAAACTAAAAAAGAAGTGACAATTTTATTTGCTATTTCAGAGAATTCACAAAACTACAGAATAGAATTTGCTACTATGATGTGAGAACACAAACCAAAGCCAGGACCTCAGTATTATTGATGAAGCTTAACAGGTTTCAATGCCAAGAGAATAGATATCCAGCAACTACAGGAATTAAACTTTATACCTGTCTGTTCAGAGCAATAATAGGGGTTATACAGCATAAATTGCTAAAAATCACAGAAATGTGGCTTGTTTTACAAAGAATATGATCTCATTGATAGAACAGATACGACGAAAGTCAACTCAGAGCATGGACGGACAATTTGTGGCAAAGTAAACAAGCCATCAGCAGCCAGAATAAATTCCAAATGCTACACAGATCTCATGGTGCCATGACTAAAATAACTAGATGCAATATTCTAATTAGTTGTGACTAATCCATCATCTCATCTATTTATTCCAAAAATATTATTTTTGAAATACATTGTCTGTGCTTCAAACATATGCTACAAGCACTGTAGGGTTTCAGAGATAACAATTTAAAACTTATGGGCGTGTACTGTGGATAGTCCCATCCTGCCATCTAGGGGTTCATTTGAAATATTTCCATTGTTTACTTGCAGCTTTCTCTTCTTGGGAATATGGAAAATTTGTCTATACTATAAATAAAGACACACATATTGTGATTCATTAAACCCATTCTCCCAAGCATGCAAGCTCTTCTATGCTACCTATCCAAGATAAAAAAAACTACAGTTTTTTTATCTTTTAAGTGAGACAAAGAATGAAGGAGCTAAGTCTCATTTAAATATGCTAACTCTGCTTTTGAACTAGCACGGTGTCAAAACCAAATGAAAAACGCTTCCTTAAAAATAAATCTGGGGAAAATAGGAAAATAATGCTAACCTTAACCTCCATTACCAACTCTCCAATTTAATCATTTGTCAAATGCAAGGAAATGGAATAGTTTTGCAATTAAATATTTGTATAAAAAGCTACCACATCTACACTCAAACTGCTAAAACTGCAAATAAAATATCCCTTGTATATCATGATACTGTATGCATAGTCAGACAAACAAAATCCTTGAAAAGGGACATTTCTTACGGGTTATATGTCTGAATATAGGTTTCTACTATATCTCTGTATTAGTCAGAGAGAAATGTGCATAAGATTGCAATCCAGGATTGTTTGGCCCTTGTTTCAAAAGGAGCCTCTGAGATGAAAGCTCTCCAGCTTATTCAATATAATATTCATGGTTTCCACTGTTCCTCCTCTCAAACTTTCTTCAGTTGCCTCTGCATACCATTCTGAAATGCCTTCATAAAACACAGAAGATTAAAAGGTTTCCCTATTCCCACAGAACAGTTAGTTAGAACTGCAAAATCTCGGAAAGCTCTATCTTATTGCCTCTAGATTAAAACTTAATGAGAATTTCCTCTAAAAAAAATAGTCTGTTTTCGCATTGGTCTCTCGAATCCATTGTATAATGTCATTTCAGTAGGTGACAGCACCTGGCTGACCATATCTGAGTTTGTCAACTAAGCTCCAATGAGCCTGATTATTATTAGGAAGGGAGAATCCCAGGAATCTTACTCTTAGCTGGGAAGTTTAAAAGCATTCCCAAAGAGGATAGCAGCAACTATTACTGTGTTGTTGCCAGCTGAAGCCCATGGAGGTGGTGTTGACATCACCAAAGCTTTACTGAAGTGAGACTTTTCCTTTAGTAACATATGTCATTGAGCATTCCTGTCTTAGGGTGGTGCTTCAGATATACCTGAATATATAAATATATAAACATATGACATACCACTACCAAATTATTATATTTTTCAGATAGAAATCTACAAGAATTAAAAACCTAGCTTTCGTTGGCAAACTGCCAACTTCCTCAGGGCTGTAGTTCATACAGGGCGGGAGAAGCTCCCTTATAGCTGGCCATTACTCTGCTTATAGCTGGCCATTACTTGTAAGCATGATGCACGCCTCATGGGGACTGGCACGGGTGTTTATGGCTCCATGGGTCGTCCTGGAGCACAAAACGAACGGCTGCACCCTCCCCCTACTTGTGCA